CTAACATAAACTTTCTAGACACATGAAAAATGGCAGTCTGCAAACTATGCCATACAAAAGTCTACCGCTGAGTTTTATCTCCATGGAAGTGAGGACTGTGTCAAATACACAGAGAAATAGGTTCTACATAGCCAAGTCCCCAGATATTATTGCAACTTTTCTCAATAGAGACAAATTTTGTCAGTCTGGATATTACCCCAGGAAAGTAGCGCCTGTCAGTATCATAAGTTACCTTGGTTCAGACTAATGAGACCACCTAGACCAACATTTTGTATTGAACAGCCCATTGGCAAACACTGAATGAAGAGCAAGAACACAGTAAGCAATTATTCCAGCTGGAGTTGGAAGATACAACTTTCTTGTCTTATTTTGAGAAAAATGAAAAAATAAAATCCAAGAAAGGCATCAAAATATGTAAATAGTACATAGTTTGGTCATAGTTTGGTAATAAGAAGCCCTGCTTGGATGTCGCAAATATAAGCACAGCAGGGGTGCATCAGAATAAAAGAGCATGTCTGCAGCATCAATGAAATATTATGACACCCTAATTATAAATCAAGGAGGTTGTTAACATGTTGCCGTATCAGTTCCTCTTGCCTAGGCTGAGGAGAAGTCAGAGGTGCAACAAGCTGTGAAGCATCACAGCAGTGACAGTCCCCAGATTCTGGGTATCCTTCACCTGCAGTTCTACAGCTACTACCCTGCACTACAGAACAGGTATCTCTGCTCAGTTGGGGCAAAAAGGCACAGCCCTCAGAAACTGACAAATCAAGAATAGGGTCCATTTTTTTCTTTGTAATTCTGGCAGCAAGCTGACATCTCTTTAGAATACACATACTGACACACATCCTGCTTGCATGTATCAACCTTGGGCGAAGTGCAAATGACATGCCTCTATACACCACCTTTTAAAAGCAGGAAAAAATAACATAATTCAAAGAGCAAATCATGGAATAACTATGATCTAATGCAGAAATATGTACTTTGGTATTTCTTAACAATAAAAGCCTAAGTACAGACTTGCTCCCTAAATAGAGCCACAAATTAACACCTCTCAAAAACTCACTACTTTGTCTCTTACACGACTGTAGCCAATTTTAAAGCCCACCATGCTGATAACTAAAAACCTGAAAATGCAGCAACAGAAATCACTTTTTGCACTTGTATTGTTTATATGAAACTTTATTATTTATGTGTCAATGATGCAGCCTAGTACGGTTCAAACATTACAGCAATGCCCTACTTATATTAAGCAACTAATTTCTAATTATTTCTTTTTTTTTTTTTTTTAACAGGTCATTTATGAAATATGAGGTTCCTGGAAATGCAGTAAGTCAACTGCACTTAAAAGATGATAAGTTCTGGGTATAATCTGTGCCATATTGTGTCCTGAATTTCCTACTTTCCATTTAATTTTTTTTAAATTGTATTTATTAATTACTTAACAACATTTGTATTAACAATGACAAAGCACCTTAAGTTCCCACTATACATAGCCTTACATTTTTTTGGCAAATTTGGCTGGAAAAAAAAAAATAATGTACAAAGCTGTAAATGTTTCCAGATTCAGCAGAAATTAAGCACATGGTCATGCACCATGATGAACATGAGGGCCATAGGAAGTGATGAGTTTCTTAAGTGATATAGGCAGCTTTCCATGTAGAAATTCTGTGTCGGTACAGTTTGTCCTTTCTTCTTATTATAAGAGGTAATTAACAAAGATTAGGAAAGACATCTACAACATTCAGTATCAACAGTGTAAAAGATGCACATCTGGCTTGTAATCAACATGCTTAGTCTCTTATTGTTGTGGCAGTGAAGTTTCAAATAATATAATTAGGGTTGGAATTTATAAATATTTTTCTGAGAAATTTGTTGGAAGATGAGGATCTATCCAGCAGCAGAGTCTAAAGCTTTCCTAATATTATGGTTCTGGCTACAATCATCTGCCACTTTTGCTTGAATGGTATGAAAGAGGACAATGGAAGAAGCCTCATGAGTTCTGTGAGTACTGTAACCAGGCATCTGGAAAAGAAAAGATCTCCTTCTGGCTGATTAAGTCTGCCATAATCTGGATAGCAAAATATTTAAAAACTCAATTATTTGTGTATTACAAATAGAGTTGTTTGGAAATTCTGTGTGCAATAATACAAGGCCTGGGTCTGTTCTGAACATGTAATTTATCGATAGAAAATAGTCAGAGTTCAAAAAGTTGCAGTGAATACCCAAATATCAGCATAAGCAGCATTCCTTTCCAATGCTACCTTTGCAGTTTTTCTCCAATATACGAGGAAAAGTAAAAAAACAAGTTACGAGGAAAAGTAAAAAAACAAGTTAAAGAAAAAAATCTTATAATCCCATATAGATCACCATCATCATTAACCTGTCATGAGCAAATTTCAATCTATCATTTTACCATGACGAATACAAGATCTAATACACTGAAGACTCAACTCATTAGATTTTGGGATATAGTTATACCTTAAGCACTGCAATATTTAATGATTTCCTCTCCTTTTAATAATTTCAGTTTTAAAAAAAAAACAAACCATTTACAGCAATTAATTCAGTGAATCTCAGTCACAGATAAATTTTGGTTCTAAATGAGACATTTCAGTTCATGCTAATGAAATTCAGACAAACTACCCTGGCTGCAATGACTTCTGGCTGAAGAGTACACACAGCTGAATGTCTGTAAATCAGGCAGGACACAATTTCTGTATATATAATGCATATAATAACTGTTCTGCATCACCAACATGTAAGAGTACAGACACTAAGCCAGAGACCTCAAAACAGCCTTTTGCCTTCCTGACAACTTCCTCATAAAAACAGAGCTTACTTTTCCAGCTGTATCACATCACATGATGTGAGCATTTGTAAAGTAGACTAGACTGAAGCAAAAGGGATAGAGGGAAAATTATACCCTACTGATGTAAAGTTACTTAGGCTACACAGTCACTTCAAGTCACTACAGATCTGTGCTGACACCAAAAGGTTCCATCCTCTCCCCCTTGCTTCCTACTGCCATCATAACTCGGGCAGTAGAATTTGTACATAACATGAAATGAGTAAACAATCTCGCAAATTTCTTTCCTGAAATATTGCTTTCTGAAAGATTAGGATATGTGGTTATCAGAAATATTTTATATGACATTAGACTATCATTCTACAAGAAAATCACAGACAAGGCTCATCATTTTCCATTTCATTCTATAAACAAAATGCATTCAAATTAATGTGTTGTACTTGGTAAGTGTAGTCTTAAATCTGGTTGTGCTTACTTTTATCTAAAATCCAGCTCTAAAGAAGCCTCATCTGCATGACTGCCTTTAGTGTAATAACTATGCCCAGTTTAAAGATCACTGTCAGCAAAAGGGAAGTAGCAGCGAAGGCAAAAAGACATGTAGGATGGCAACAAAATGAAGCTAAATGCTAATGGTAGCATACGTGTTTCTTGACACTTTTAATACAAGTTTGGGGCAAATTAGCCATAATATAGAATTTTTAAAGTGTATGAAAAAAACAGACAAATCCTACTGTAGCACCTGTTCGCATTAAAACTTCACTAGGATAATGGTCAGGAGTCACTTTACTTGAGTAGTTGCTACAAAATTTTATGAGGACTTCCGCAAAAATTTATCTTTCATTTATAGCCTTCTCTTGAAAAATTGGAAACTCTGAGCAACTGATAATAAATTCCACTTAGCAAAACATGATTCTTGAAGCTAAAAATTCTCCAAAGCATTTATTTGGTTTTAGCATAAAGATCCTTAACCCACACTATAAAATGTGTTTCATACACACAGTGATTTCTTACAGTGATTTCAAGCACTTTAGATAAAATCATTACTTTAAACATGCATAGCTTATAAAAACAAAAAGTATTAATTTCTGGTAACATGACAGTATTTTTCATAATCTGTTTACAAAAAGCATTGTCCAAAACTATTCCCCAGATTCATAACACCGTTTTTCTGATTGCTGTTATGGACTATAACAATAGGCCTTCTGCTGTGCTGCAATGTGCAAACTACAAGGAAAGTAGTAAACAGTCTATTGGTATATACTTCTATTCTGCTGCTAGGTAATCTCTTTCAGCCAACAAAAATTTATTGCCACCTTAGTGGCAATAAATGATATGTAGTCATTACCACCAAAAATCTAGCTCAATATAGCCTTTTCCATTTGCTGTCCACCATCTTTTTTCTTTTTTATAATTCTGAAGAAAACACTATCTTCTAGGAAGTAACAATAGCCCCTCTATTTAAAATAAGTATTATCATTAGAACTTAAAACCCTAAACACCTTAGAAGTCAGCCACTGAGCAAAGCCCGTGTTTCTTCCCTAACCTTCTTGGTAATTTCCTCCTTTGCATTTTACCTGGTACATTAAAAATCATTGTTAGAATTGCATGTATCTTACACAGTTTGCAGAAAATTACAAAATTTATGATCATTGTCAACCCAAGCTGGCTGAAAACAAAGTTTTCTGGGTCTATTTAGCAAGGTATTTTACCTAAAGCAACACAATAGAAATACCTCCAGAATTTCCCACACTGAGTTATAATACCTATGTCAACATTCTTATCTAAAATTCACTTAATTACATGTTACAAGTAGGAACTTTTGAAATGGTATATCCAGTAATCCAGGTACTGAGGCATACTGGATAATATTAATTCAAAACTTACCAATTTTTGACCCAAGAAAACCAAGTTATGTTCTCGAAACAGACACTAGAGTTTGATGGATAGTATTTGCAATTCAAAATGGGTAAAATAAACTTCCAATATTTATACCAGTATATTTCAAAATAAATATACCAAAAGGCTCAAAATATTTTAAAAATTGTTAGCCTGTTTTGCCTTCAAAAAATGGTAGAACCTAAACAAAAAAATTTTAATATTCAAGTTATACCAAAACCAGATTTCCTTTTTAAATCTGAAAACAACTGAGCTGTTCAAAGCTAAATATTAATCACAAATAAAAAGCACTTACCTTCTTGTCTGTTATTTTTCCTTTTTAGCCATTTTTCCACAGTTTCTGCACTTACACTTTCTGACACAAACTCATCCAGTACCTGGGGGTGAAGAGAGAGATATGCCTTCACTTTTTCATCTGTTAAGCCTGAAAGAGAGAACATTAATTGATTACATTAATGGTATGAACTCCCTCATATGAAGAAAATAACTGGAGACCAGCAAGAATCAACATCCCTTTGTTTAACACACTGATTGAATATATGACTATTTAAATAGAACAGAGAGAGCAATATCCTTTAAAAAAATAAGCTTCAGTGTAGAAAATAGTAGAAGCAAAGGGTAACCATACAAAATACTGTGTACAAAAAGTCCCTTGAAGGCATACACATAAACATTACCCAGGAGAAATAGCCAGGTAGGAATTCATGACTATGAAATTATTTCTAAGCTATGCAGGATGATATATTGATAAAGAAACTGTTTAGAAGGAGATAGAAGGAGGTGAACTGGGATGTCTCACAGAGCACCAAATTCAGTGTTCTTACTGCAAATGGCAGCAAAATCAACACAAACTGTTATGGAACACCAAAATCATATGCAATTTTCAAATACTAGAATTACTTAAGTTACTTTAGATGTATAAACTGTTTTCACAGGCATGCTTCTATTGCTTTAATAACTTAGTTATCTAAATGAAAATAATTGCAGATAAAAGGTATTTACAATATCTGCAACAGAAAGAATACTCCAGTAAACATTTTTAAAAAAGAAGAAATATTCAGAATCTCAGATGCCTGACAATCATAAATAAATTTTCAAATTCACAAAATTATAATCTGATTATACACTTTGCAAATCCCCCAAAAATGACTGACCACAGGCAGGTGAACCCAGCAGTGCTGAGGCTGTCCAAAGGGGAAGCAATAAAAAGAGCCTGTCCTGAGGGACTTGGCTCCAGGCTACCATAGAGGGAATAGGCACCCCAGTGCAAAAGCCTTAATGCGATATGAGGGGAAGAAGAGTGGCAACCACTGTAATGACTCTAAATATGTCATCTTCTCTTGTATTTTGTGTATTTAAATATAAGAGTAAATTCAACACAGAAAGCAGCCAGGTTTCAGCAGAAAATGAACTCCTCTCTGAACAACACTGACCTCTTTCAGAGAGTATTCATGGTACAAAATGAGATCGATTCTCCTATTTTGTGCTTTGCACAGTATCAGAACGTGATGAACAGAGGTGCAGTGCAGTTTGAATGCTAGTCAATTATGGTAATATTTAAGATCTCTTACAGATGTTTACTGTGAAAATCTTCAGGAAGCAATACCAGAAGACAAACCAACAGCTCTCTGCAGAGCACCAACTACCTACACCACTTTCCTCACACCAACTGCACTATATCACTCACCCACATCAGCCCCCAACAGCTCAAAACTGGTTTAAACTACCCTTCCTTTAAATCCAGTGGTGGCAGCCCCTGCTGGATATCATAACCTCAAAGAACAACATTGCTACTTAAGGCAATTCCCAATATATGAATCACTTGAATAAGAGCTTATTTAGCATCCTGACTTTCGTTAGTGAAGAAGAAAAGGCATATCATGAATCAGTAAGACAAGTACATAATCAGCAAGTGGGGTGAAAACAAGTAAAACCCTACTACATTGATTGTTTAACCTTAGGTGGAAGCTTGTAGAGTTACTAGATCATAATGTAGCTATAAAGAAGTACAAGAGTGAAATGAACAAGATAATCTTAAAGCCAGTTCAGGGATTGCCTCATGTTCTAAAAAAATCAAACTCATTAATATAATTCTGTAATTTGTTCAAATGAGAAAAATGTAGACCCTTGAAAAAGTATTTCTAATTTCACAGTGAGAAAATTTGAAAAGGATACATATTTTAAGAATCATTCAAAAGAGTACCACATTTTAAAGATTTAGCCATCAAAATGTCATCAAAATTCATCTGCCCTTTAAGTTCTACACGAAAAATGGTCAAAACAGACTTGTCATAAAATGTCTGCCAATTTCAAGTTGTCTTTAGACTGCAAAGAAATACTTTTTTGCTTCTAGTAAAAAACTATGACCTGAAAAGGTTGCAAAATTAGCAAATGGAATTCTGAAAGGATTGATTTGTTTCATCAGTGAAAATAACCCTTCTTTCTTCATCCAACCCTTTATATGTTGTGGGTTTTGTAAATCAGAATTCCATAAAATGTCAATTTGAAATAATACTTCAGTCTACAGGTCTCAAATTTAATATCCAGATATTATGCAACTTCAGCAACCTAAAGCCAAGAACTCTGCTTTAACCTTATACAGAAAAGTAGCTCATGAAGCTGATATAAGAACTCCTAAACAGTCTTTAAATTACCCGTCTTTATTTCACTAAAGGTATCTGCGCAGATGTTTTTTCTTAATGTGGGATTTGTAGATGGGAGCAAGAAGAACAAGATTTACAACCATGTTTGCAGAGTTTAAAAGGAGTGACTTAAACCTATTTTCTACATAGATTAAGGCCAACTTATTGGTCAGCTCCCAATTGTTAGCCTGCTATATCAAAAAACACACCCTGCAAACATACACACAAACTCCACAACCAGAACTAACAATAACACATTGTGACTTCACAAAATGTAGAAATGCAAGCCTTTTCAAAGAAATTTTAATGGTTTGTGTTTTATGTGCATTAAGGCTAAAAAGTGTAGTAAAGATGCCTGAATGTAAGTGCATTTTACAGCTATGCAGAAGCAATTATTCTATGGCATATGGAAAGCCTTCTTGATTGTAAGATGCACATATAATAAAGTTATTGCATAACAACATGCCCTCTTGAACATTCACATGCTCCTGAAAACTTCTAGTACATCTAGTACATGTATTTTTGTTAAATATGATTGACCTCTCTATTTGACCTCTCTATTGAAGCATTGTAATCCCTTAATTCTGAAAAATGCAAAAAACCCTATTTGAATATTTAGAGGCAATGATTACTAACATTTAAATAAACAGGACAATAACATACCCACACTCAGGAAAGTGAAGTTTATCATGCCAATCAGGTGCTATTTACAGAATTATCAACAAACATAACACAAGCCAATGCTGGTTATTAATTTTTCTGTTACTTACGTATTGGTCCTAAATATTTGGGGCAGCAAACTTTTCTATATTCGTTCACACTAGAAATATTTCTCCTCTACTACTTCTCCCCTCACTACTACTTCCCATGACTTCCAGTAATGCAAGGACTTCTCTCATTCTTGTTCAGCATTTCTTGTGTGGAGCTTCAAGTGTATACATCAACAGTGCCTAGCAAAGGAAAAGGCAGCAGCGCACACATGCTTAACTGTGTTGGTTTATACACTTCCACCCAAGCAGCCCAGACAAAAGCTCCCGTCACTTCATTTCATGCAACCCTAGAAAGCATCACCTCTTGTATCGGAACCAATCTGTCCTCTGACAGAGCTGTGACAGTTACCAAAAAGGACCATCACTCAGGAGGGCTGAACACTGGCCACTCAGCAGGCCAGAAAGCATCGAAAGACTGGAATAATTGCTCTGGCAATTAAAGGAGGAATCTGGTATTTGATTTGGATGTCCATTCATTCCATTTATGCAGTGGAGTTCACCCTCCATACATATACCCTGTTTAATTAAAAACACACCAAATCAGCTTTCTCTCTTGTATTCTTATTTTAAAATTATCAACTCACTTTTCAATGCTCTATTTGACACAACTTGCTGCTGTCGTGTTTTATGCACACATTAGCTATTTGTTGTGAATTTGTGATTAAGAAATGAAGGACACATACATCTCAGATAAGCTCTTCCTCTTTTCATTCTCCTCTGAACAAACCACAGCAAAAAAACAGCTCCAGCTGCCCACCACTTGGGGCAGCCCAGCACTCACTTCCTGACCAGCACACTCAGCTACGTTCTATAGATCTCAATTTAAAATGTTCTCTTTGGCCATACCATCTCTTTTTGTGGTTTATAACTCCTTCATCCTTACTGTTAAGCTTTCTAGATCTCCAACAATGAAGCTGAGGGAAAATTGCATCAGCTGAGGTTGATTGCCTGCTGGGAACCATCCCTGACCTGACCCTACTCCAGGGCAACATTTGACACCTGCCCAGGACATCACTAGCTGACTTGGAAAATGCAATGCCAGGAACCACTCCAGACAGAAATCCAAGTCTAGTACATAAGAATGCTCCTTCACACTGTTTACTAACTCAGACATAACAGAACTGGGTTTAAAACCACAACAAAAACCAAAAATCTTCAAACATCAAGTATCAGTAATTATTCTGTGCCTTTGAGACAGTCTTCAACAGCCTGCCTTTAGAGAAAAAAAATTAATAAAGTAAAAAACACTAGACAGTCATATTTTTGCTTTCAGCTTTTTATGCTGACTAAAATATTTTAAAAATTTCTTAGATATTAGATAACCTGTGTAGTACTAAATAGATTAATGGGTTCTGCTCTCTGACTCCAAATCCATGTCACACTACACTCTCCTCTGAGAATATCTTCACTGAGCTCAGCAAAAAGCAGAACTGACTGTGAATGAGCTGAAAAAATTGAAGCCTAGAGCTATGTTTAAAAATCTCCATTTAGCAACATGAGTCACACATGTCATTAGCAAATCATGCAATTTTTTCATTACTGTTGTGATATTTGGTCTTTTTTCTAAAACCACTAACTTAATCAAATCTTATGATTAGGCAAGAATTTTAATTTTCACATAAAGTGTCTGGTTCCCAGTGTGGGGGGCACACAGGGAGTCAGAAAAGAAGGGGTAAAAACTGATGAGCCAACCTAATTCTTACCAAGGGTCAGCATTTTATCCTTGAGCAGCTAATCTCTGAAAGATTCCAGTCATTGCTTCCCTCCAAACCTTTTTTCCCATTTAGACAGGACCCAATTATTTGAAAACACATTGTGAGGATGTACACTGGTCATTGTAAGAAGTCAGGTGGATTCCGCATATCAAGAAGGCTTTTACTAATAAACACAAAAGAAAATAACTATAAATGCTGTCAATGTTGCATCTGTTAACAGCAACAACAATCTAATTCAGACCAAAAAAAATACACTAATTAATTAATTAACTTGTTTGGTTTAATAAGCAATTCTTC